CCCTCATGAAAAATGATCACGGTGTCAACGATCACGACGTCAACGAAACTTAAAACTTGCCTCAATAACACCTTTTAAATCTCAAGTCTTGTTTTTCTTGTGTTATTCACTCTAACCTAACCTAACCTAACCTAACCTAACCTAACCTTACCTGACCTAAACTAACCTAATCCAACTATACGTGACCCAGACCTCTCCTGTACACTTAATTTTTTAATTTTACTCACAAGGAAGATATTTTTCTGTTTGTTGACACCGTGATCGTTGACACCATGCTCAGGGCCCATTTTTGCGTTTTACTGCCTGATCAAGACGTCAACAATCGTTGACTCCATGATCAGATTTTTGGTTTGTTGACACCATGATCGTTGCCACCATGCAACGTTACCGGAAATTCCGCTAAAAGGTCCGGAATTTTTTTTAATTTTATGTCGTTTTTGTCGCAATATTAATTTTTTGAAATTTTTCGAATTTCGTCAAATGGAGGTACTAAAAAAGTACGGAATTTTTCTGTTGGAGGAGGTACTGAATTTCTTGATGAGGTACTGAAAAAGTACTGTAAAAGTACTTATTTTTGATCAGCCTGATTTGTCTTGAGTGCCGTTTGTTGGTTGGCGTGTACATCCGTTTGCCTGAATGTAAAATCCCGCTTTTCCGTTTCCTCAAAGGGAACCACGCCTCTTTTTACATTTTTCTTAACGCACCTTTATAGAGCACACCCTATCTTTTCAACTGGTCTCCGCGTTTGGCAGGAATACGTACAATTTTGAAGGTGGATCCTTACAAACGACTACAGTGATTTGCCGTTACAAATATATGAAATTCAGAAGAAATTATATTACAGGTTTGTTTACCGCAGTGTTTACAGGTCGATAGGTCCGCACCTGCCTTAAAGTTTGTCAACAGCATGGGATATTTTCGTTATAATATTTCGTACTTTGTGTAGAGGCAGATCATTAAAATCCCTAGCAAGGATCCATTTCCAAAGTTAAACTCTTGAACTTCACTCAAAGGCTCTTATAAAGTGCCCCGTTTATGTTACTTAATCGAACTTTCTTAAAATTCCCTCAGTTACAATGGAAACCTTATGGTGCCTATCCAAAGAAAATGTCTGGTTAAGTTGCGGCTATAAATACGGCCCTGGGCTTAGTAAGTGTGGACAGTAATGTATCATTTCTATTTCGGTGTCCATATCCGTATAATCATTCTAAGCCTCATCAAGTTGTCAATTTCACACCAAACAAACAACAAAATTGCGTGTTTTTAAATTCAATCTCTATAGAATTTTCCTGAAAATTCCAAACCACCGACTGCACCGCCATAGAGGGACTTCTATTAGACGCCTCTTTATGTTAGCTAACACTTAACACTATGGTCAGTCAATCCTCGTAACAAACGATTTCAGTCCTACGTTCATATTTAAATGTATCTCTCGAGTGCTACATTGCCGTGCTAAGGAAAAACGCTGTATGAGCCTTCAAGCAAATTCCCTTTGGCAAATGACTAATTTTCAAGCAAATTTTTGTAAATTAATCTACCAATTTCTGAGATAATTTTGTTCGTAATTTGATCTGCCGAGTCCGAAACTTTCGAGGAAAACTATATTCATTAATTCCCTTAAAAATGAACGTTTCATCGAAGGAAATTTGGCATCTCTGAAACGTTCATACGGCGTTTTTCCCTAGCACGGTAGTACGAACCCATCATTGGCACTGAAAGTTCGTGTCAATCAAGAATTTAAGAGGAGATACGTATGTGCGGATGGTATTCGAGAGAGAAATAAAGTTCTTTTGATGGAATCTGCTAAGCCTTACTTTGGGTGAAAAATTTACATAATGCTCATTTTTTCAGCGGCGCGAGGGTAGAGAGGGGCCCTCGTCCACNCCACGAAAGGGGGGGGGGGGTAGTTGAGGCGGAGACCCCGGCGTCGGTTCAGGCTGTGAACTCTGTTAGAATCTCTCACGCTTTCCTCTCTTCATGAGCTTAAGTTGTAAGGTGAATTTCAATTAGGCTACACTTTCTTTCAATGAAAATATTCAAATACCATGCTCAGCAAATCTTTCTCCCCTCTCTCGAAGTCTCTTCTCCGCAATCCGCACCCGCTGAATTTTACGTTCTCATTCCCTCATTTCGCAAGCCTCCTTCTCCGTTTACTTATCACAATTGGACGGCTCTGAAGAAGAGATTATAAGTTTTTAAAGCGGATCCTTTGCCGTGTCGGTAATAGATTCAACGCCATCGAGTAAATTTTGTGCCATGCACGTTGCCATATTTTAGTGGAAATATATAAAGGTGGGATCAACTTCGTCGAGCACATCGTTAAAAATGAATCCCCTATGAATGTAGCAGTGATGGTTCGAATCTCGTAATTGGACCGAGTTTATCAGAAAGGAATCAACCCACATAAAGTTGAGTCTGAGAAAAAGAGGTTTGAAGTTGTATTCTTCCGTAAGACTCAATGTAGAAAATAAACTTAGGCTCCTCATATCACCGACCAATTTATTTTTTTACATTGAGTTTTTGACAGGAGAAAATTTACGACTAGCGGAACTCAAAAACATTCTTAACTCAATTTTCTCGAAAGCGTGGGTTAGTTCCTCTCTGATTGACTCAGTCCAGTTATCCTCTGCTTTGAGTATTAATTAGTCAACCTCAAGTTTCGGAGGCCAAGGTTTTCCTTCCCATGAACGGCCATAAATAAATGAATCGTATTAAAAAAAGGACAAGTCTAGATTCAGAAGAGCTTCGTTTACATACATTTTAAACACTTCAGGTCTCAGGCAGCATAGAACTTGGTTCATTCGACGCCAACCGGACAGAGTTTGAAAGGAGGTTCTAAAGAACACATGGACTCTGCGTTTTGTAGATGTTTTGTAGATGTGTATGTTCCGGAATTTCTGATGGTGGAACGATTGCAACGCATCGAAATCTGAATTTAAATAAACTGCAGGTTTCCTCTCTCGTTTCCAATCGGAAAATTCACATTTCCTCTAACATCCATTCTTTTCAAACGTTTTAAAATTTCAATCCTTTTCCTGTGAATTCAGAGAAAGCAAACTCAATTCAGATGAAGAAGGCAATTTACAGTTTGATTTATAGACGGACCCAGAAATTTCGAACACAGGGGGCGGTAAAATGGAAGTTTTCCTGAGAAAATTTTTGAAATTTTAAAGCATCTAATATTCAGTTTCCGTCAATTTTTTCATGAATAATTACAAAGTATAGGCGTTCTTCTTCCCTCTTTTCTCTGTCTTTTCTTTCTTTCATTCTTTTCTCTCTTTTTCTTCCTCCTTTTTTCGGGCGAACGGGGAAGGAAAATTAGGAAAATCTGGCAAAGTCAAGGAGTCCTGAAAAGTCAGGCCGAAACACTGGAAAATATCGGAGAAAATGAGAAGCATATCAAGAAAAAATTTGCAAATCACAATTATTGTTTTTTTTAATGCGTATGACGTTTCGCGCAGCAAATGCTCACGAAGACTTTTATGAAATGTGTCTTTTTAACCACCGTGTATATCTTCAAATGTAAGGGAAGTTGTTTTTAATTTTTTTTTAAATGTGTCCTTTTAACCACCCTGTACGTCTTCAAATGTGAGGGTATTTCACCAAAATATGTCACAGAGATCAAAGACGTGTCAGAGAATTTCATTTTCCAAAATCCGCGGCAACCCTGAGCAGACCCTTTGTTTCCCAAAACACTCGACTTCTTTCTGATTCAAATATGCTCCACCGCACCGCGCGGGATCTGATTTGAATGGGATCGCGGGCGAATGGAGACGTTGCGAGGGCGACACGGGGACGGCCGCCCCAGACCGGCAGGTGCGGCAGGGGGGCGGCGGAGGCAGAAATGGAGAAAGTTCAAGCCTAAGTGAAGATTAATATCTGTGACACGCGAGGACGTTCGAGGCGGAAACGTGTTACAAATTGGAAATATCAGACACCCGCAGGCCCCGCGCCAGCCGCCCGCACGCGATAAAAACTGAAGACGCTCCAAACCTATTAAAACGAGCATCGAAACTGTCACGCGACGGAAAAACGCTTCCCCCCGCCGCCGAACTTCAACCCCTCCCCCCCCCGTCGCGCGCCGCCATGCTATCGAACGCACTCTGACGAAAATCACGGCGGGGGAAATTGAGGGGCTCCGAATCGAAGCTCCCCCAGGGCGCTAAGCGGCCCGATCCTCGACATGTGTTCGCCGCCGACGATGTTAACCCTGGTCTGGAAAGCGTATAAGAGGAAGGAAAAGAGGACAGGGAGGTAAAGAAGAGGAAAAGAGATAAAAGAAGCACTGGGAAAAAACACATTGGATCTAGAGTCCAGACTCTTGAAAACATTGACAAGGAAAAATACTCTTGATTCAATCGGATTTTTGCTTGAATCAAAGAGAAATCCCTTAAATTGCTTGGTTCTTGATTTAAGCTAGATTCTGATTAAATCAAGAGTACTTTTTCTTGTCGATGTTTTTAAGAGTCTGGACTCAAGATCTAATGTGTTTTTTTCCGATGAGAAAAGAAAAAGAAAAAAAAGAGGCAAGGCAAAGAAAACTTAATTCTTATTTCCCTTCTGCTCTTCTCGCTCGCTTTTCTTCTTTTCTTTGCAAAGTGTTGGGAAGAAATAAGGGGCTTGGAGGACAAGGCGCAGAAGTGCAGTTTTTGAAAAAAATGAGATATTCATGAACTCGACTAAAACTAGTTTGAAAGTACATTCTGTGAAAAATTCAGAAGTAAAATCCAACTTTAAAGCATCTAAAAGTGAGTTTAAATCTCCTTTCCGCTATAAGACTCCATGTAATTTTGAAACTTTAAACACGTATTTCTCAAAGTAGCAACAACTGCACTTATGCGCCTTGTCTTCCAAACCCCTTAAATGCTCTTTTTACGTATAATCCGGGGAACTGCAAGATTTCCCTTGTTATAGAGGCGTTGGATTTATTTCATTGTTTCTGTTTCATAGCATTAGGTAGTGTTTTTGGTGATTCACGAAACTGTTCGTTTATGTTGCAGGTGAGCCCGAGGTGCTTTCCAAATGCGGGAGATAATCTTTCTGATTTTAGTCTTCATCCAGTACCGTACAAGTAAGTAATTTTTAATCACATTTTTATACGGAATTAATTGTAGCTGAAATTTTCCAATTGACCTCCTCGTCAATGAATGTTTCTCGACTTAAACTTGCGGCGAGAATTGTTTTTTTCTTCAGAGGCAAAAATTATTTGCGTTCAACGTATGCACGGTTCCTAAATGCTAGCACAGCTTAGTTACTGATCTTCCTACTTTTAGTAGGTCTCTTACGTCATGAAAATTTAAACGTCATGGATGTGAGCTTGAATTGAAGACAATTTCACTTTGTTCATGTGTGTGTAAAATCTCGCTAATAAGTGGGGAGAAAGTAATCTTTATAATGAAAGATCGGTGATTAATACCATACTCTCATTTCTTCCATCCTTCTTGCTTTCATCGGTTACCCTAAGATGAATTCCATTTTTTCAATACTTATTACTCATCCTTTCCTAATTTATTTAAGGGAAGGAAATTCAATATCATCAAAAAATAGAATGTATACCAAGTTCGCTGGCCAAAAATTTCATTCGCCGGATGAAATGGAAATGAAATTCATAGTCCGAGAGNTATGATCTTTAATAATAGACTTGTCTGCCGAGCGTCAGGAGTTTGTCACCAGATGGTGTTTTTTGGACCACTTTGAGGGCCTAGATGAGGGTGATGGCACAGGCTAGAGGGCGGCAGACAAAAATTTTCCGTTTCAGTGCATGCAAGGCTATCGATTTAGGGGGTCAAAACATGTATCCCGAGTTTGTCACTCAAAGTCGTCTGGCTCTCTGACTATCAATATACTTTTCGTTTAAACTATCACTACATCTAGATTATACTGCTCCCAAAGTTGATTGATAGCAGCGAAAAGAAAATAAAACTTCCCTTTTTTGTTTTTAAATTCCTCATCACTTCATCGATCGGAAATAACGCCTTTGATTAAGCAGTCACCGAATATTTCATTATTGCAATATTTTTTCGTATCTTCTTTACTTTTTAAATTCCCCTTTTCATCGATCGGAAATGACGCGTTTGATAAGATAGTTTTTGAACGTTTAATTATTTCAGTATTTTCTCATGCATTTTTCACTTTTTCATCTCATAATTATTACCTCCCAGCAGTTCTTAAAAAAATCTTGATGCCTCTTTTTATTTCTTAGCTCCTATTACAATTTTACCTTGTAAAATTGTGTTTTCCATTATTAAATTTTGAAGAGCTCTCGCCAAATGTTAAATGAAAGTATACTTTACTGAACTTCAAAGAAACATTCTTCATCAAATAGATACAAGATATCTGACGTTTTTTCGTCGCTTTTAAATTTTCCTCAATTCTGGTCTTTTCTTTTTCCCATTTCTCTCATTTCTTGCTACAAGATTGAAAAATACAAAAAATAACGATATATAAGGTGCTTACACGTATGCTTTACATGATCTTATAACCATTTAATTTAATTTTCATATCGTGTTACTTTATTTATTCTTTTGAACAGACTGATTAGTAACACGGAATTATTAGGGACTTTCGTTTTTAGCATCGAGGAAAACCTAGTAAGACGCCTCAGAGTTCCCGAAAAATGTGTGATGAGAAAAATCACTAAAATGTTTATAAAATGACGTTCAGTTGTTTTCCATGTAGAAAATAAAATATCGATGGTTAAACTGCAGAAATGCGTCTGTCGGTTTGCGGCGTTGCAGACTCCCTGTCATACTTCATTTTTTATACGGGAATCACTTAATTTCATTAATTGAAAACTTCGGAGATTTTTCTACCTTGTGTGAAGAATATTCGGTGAAAATTGTAAGCCATACTGCTAGTTCGATCTCCCTTTGAATTATAAAACAGGAGCGGAGATTTTCAAACACCGCAATCGAGTACGCATTTTTGCAGTTTCACCATCGATATGCTCGGAATTCTGCAATGCCGCACAGTGGATCGAGTCAATTAGAGAGGTCGGGCGTGACATTTTGACTAAAACTGTCAAATTTGATGTTTATTTCGTCACATTTTAAACTTTTTTGGATGCCTCTGGAAAGAAATATCGCAGGTTAACAAATAGAGCCACTTTTAGAACCTCAAAATTTGGTATAAACGGAGTTATAAGCTTTTAATAAGCGTAAACTTTTCTCGAAAAATACGCAAAAAATCCAGAGATTTAACATTTTCTTAGTTCTCAATGGTTTTACTTTGATAATGCCGAAGGGTTTTCCTATGTCGATGCTACTATCTGCAATATTTTGTGCGGCGACCACACTATGTGTTAGGTGCAATGCGGGAAGTATTCCTGTACTCTTGTAGGCGCTAATATGGGCTTTGAGCTTGAGCGCATCAGCGACTGCCCTGCGTTTGACGCAATGCGTGAAGTATTTTTGCCTCCTTGTAGGCGCTGATATGCGTCTCGCGCCGACCGGTGCGGCGCACAGTGGATCGAGTCAATCAAAGAGGTCAGACAAGTAATTTTTGACAACAATTGTACATTTTGATGTTTATTTCGTCACATGTTAAATTTTAAGGGGTGCTTCTAAAAGAAAATATCACCGAAAAAACGAATGGAACCACTTTTAGAACCTCAAAATTTTATATAAACGGAGTTATAAGCGTTTAATGTTTCCAAATTTTGTCCGACGTCTCCTATTGACTCAATCTACTGTGCGCCGCAAACCGAGGTACGTATTTCTACAGTTTCACCATCGAAATGCGGTCCATTTTCCTCTTTGTGTAGTTACCTCGTTTGGTTCCTTTGGTCAGACAGAAGCGTCCCGCGGGAAAATTCGCCGCCGAGCCGCAGACTTGAAACAAAAAATTGGATAGGAAAACTTTACAACGTGCCTTTTGATCGGAGGGACAGTAAAGCCGAGCTCGACATAGGGGATATTATCGAGGAGCATTTTCAAGATTTTCAAGTGAGCAATATATTCTCCCCAGCTCCACTTTGCCTCCAGTCTTGTCCGCCCGCCCCCGCCGTTCAAGAAACGCCTCCTCCTTTTACGCGTATGTTGACACGTGTCCTACTTTCGGGCAAAGAAAAATATTCCTTCTCCGGATTCCTGTTTCCTGTTTCTCCCATCGGTCGCGGTGGCGTGGACGTGAAATTTCAGCATTCTTTTAAGAGCCCCATAAAATGGACGTATTTCTGCACCGGAAAAAAAACACATTGGATCTACAGTCCAGACTCTTAAAAACAATGACAAGAAAAAGTACTCTTGATTCAATCAGAATCTAGCGTAAATCGAAAACCAAGCCTCCTAATTTAAGTGGATTTCGTTTTGATTCAAGCAAAAATCCGATTAAATCAAGAGTATTTTTTCTTGTCAATGTTTACAAGAGTCTGGACTCTAGATCCAATGTGTTTTTTTTTTCCAGTGTACGGTGGATCGAGTCAATGAGGGAGGTAAGGCATAACCTGGAAACTTTAAAAGCTGAAACACTGGAAAAAAACACATCGGATCTATTGTCCAGACTCATAAAAACATCGACAAGAAAAAGTACTTTTGATTAAATCAGAATCTAGCTTAAATCAAGAACCAAGCTTCTTAATTCTAGCAGATTTCGTTTTGATTCAAGCAAAAATCCGATTGAATCAAGAGTATTTTTCCTTGTCAATGTTTTCAAAAGTCTGGACTCTAGATCCAATGTGTTTTTTTTCCAGTGTGGAAAACGGAACTATGTGCATGAAAATATGAGCCCTGAGACTCTTGAGAACATATCATGACAGGGCTCACGTCATATTACACATAGTTTCGTTTTCCAGAAATACGTCCAAATATATAATTGAGTGTACGTCTCTTTTCTCTAGTCTAAGATTATTTAACGTTCTGTCAATAGGGTGAAAGAATGGGTCAGTTGCGCTAGTCACAGAATCGTGTTTTGATGACTGGTCCATGTGATTAGCTGAAAATAATAAGATTTGCCCAAACAGCAACTTTCTACGTTCAATAATAGCCGAGATATCGCGCTCTTAAAAATTCGGTCTTATGACGTCATCCAACGCGGTAGTGACACCTTTGGTTGCTTCCACCTTGCTTCCATCTAAGCTTCGCGTTGAGTTGAAATATGTGTCTCATTGACTGATGAAAGCAAGGTGAAAGAAACTAGGGGTGTAACTACTGCGGTGGATGACGTCATAAACCGAATTTTTCAAAGCGTGATATTCCGGTTAATATTGAGTGTAAAGAGTTGCAACGACTCCTGTTATGAAATGTTCACTTGTGCCATAGCATCGTTTTAAGCTTTAAAATTAGCATATTTCTTTCGCAGATTCTAAAGTTAGGAGTGTATTTCAGACTTTCTTAATGATCCCATCGTGATTTTTGAGTCATTTTCTGTCAAAAATTCACTTCGCTCCGGCTGAAGTTTAGAACGTGCCATTGTTCGTGCCTCCATATTTGAGTCAAACCCAGCATCAAAACATTCCGGATCCAAACGAAGAATACACTCGAGATTTATTATCAATTTTATCCCTCCAATGCCAATAACAGTTTTTATGCTTTTGCTGATACTTATCAGATCAGTCCTGTAAGCGCAGCAATAACAGTCAATCATCATCTACCGAAGCAAGAATCCGCTACCTTCCAAATAATCTCATTCATTCAAGGATGATTATTATCGCAACGTCGGAAACTCACGTAACATTTGGATTGCATTTTGCAAAAAGGAACCACTAGTATTGCAATGATGCTAAGATTGTGCAACTTCATCCTTTTCAATAAAATTGCGGAAATCGTGAAAAACTATGAAATTTAGATGGTAATTTTTGTCTTAAATTCACAGTTTTTAGCGAGTCAAATAGAAACTATTAATGGATAATCGGGTTTTTCCTCCAAGACAAAAGAAGTTGCACAATCTCAGCAACATTGCAATGCTAGTGGTTCCTTTTTGCAAAATGCAATCCACTTTTCTTAGCACGCGCGGTGGGAAATATGAATCCTCGATTCAAAGATGTCGTCAGAGAGAGAGAAGGGCGGGAGAGAGATAGAGGCAGTGCTACTAATGAAGAGATAAATCAATGGGCTTTATGAGCCCCGATGAGCG